ATATATATATATATAATCAGGGAGAGAATTTTTGTGAAAATAATATCTGCTGCTGTGATCCTGTTTTTATGTCCTTTCAAAGTAAAAGCTTACACATTTATGAAACTGATTATACATTATGTGACAGAAGTGTATCTGTTAAAACAGGGGTTCTCAAACCTTTTGGGTCTGAGGACCACTTACAAGTGTGAAACGTTTCCAGGGACCCCCTCATAAACCCCATGCTGTTTTAGAAATAATTTACTGTCATTTTAACCCATAAATATTATGAGAACATTATGCTTTTGTTTGGTTTAGTATGTTTGTTTTACTAGTGTATTGTTCCTCATGTTCATTTTTCAAATAAAATCCAAAATAAGCATTTATTGAAAATTTTTGAGGACCCCCAAGATAGGGCTTGTGGACCCCTGGGGGTCCTGGAACCCCAGTTTGAAAACCTCTGTATTAAAAGGCAGCCAGCCTTTATGTTATTGTGTTTTTAAGGAGTCCATCTTTTATAACACTCATAAAATGTGACTTTTCACATTTGGCTGTTATCCCAGCTCTGTGTTGCCTCCCCCTAATGACCACAACATATTTTTATGTCACTCCTTTCAAGATTTGATGAGTCATGTTTTGATTTTGCTAAAATAATTGCACCATTTAGTATTTTTGGCATGCTTAAGACGATTTAGTGTCTTTTTAGCTCATCTGTCTGGCTTGTGCAGTCAGACCTACACATGTGCTGTAAATAGGAGTAGGAGATGCAAACCTGAGTATTCCCTTGATGTAAGAATAAAAGTTTGATTGCATACCACGGCCACATTTGCCTTTCACTTTCTGTTTTTAAAAAGCACTCTTCTGCTGCCAATGAATCCATTCAGTGTAATTATTCTGTTGCAATGCAGCTCAAAGGTGCCAAAAATCATGTTAGTGACTAAGCAGACTGGAATTATTGACAGTTATTCAGTAACTCTGTTGATTTAATACTACCTTTTTTTAATCTCATTGCAGCTTCTAAATTTAAAACCAAACAAAGCACTCCAGTTTTTAGTAACGACACAAAAGCTACACATCTGCCATCAAACCTGTTCAGCAGGTGGTCAAACGTGTTTTGTTTAGATTTTTAGCATTGCTGGACGTCAACATTGCGACCAAAACAACAACAGCGACTATTCGTTTCCCTGCTTGATGAATAATTCACAACCAAAACAACACGTGGCTTTTTGCTGTCAGGTGCTGGTCCGCAGGTGTGCAGATGGAACAGAGCTGCGGGGGAGAATAGTGGAAACTGAAGCGTATCTCGGTGGGGAGGATAAAGCCTCGCACTCAGCCGGGGGCAAACGCACCGAGAGAAACACGGCCATGTTTATGAAGCCAGGCACAGTCTACGTGTACCCCATCTATGGGATCTACCTCTGCATGAACGTGTCCAGCCAAGGTACAACCACTGCACTAATGATACTTCTGTTTTGTGCATTTCAGCTCATACATATCGACTTTTAATATGCTTAAATGATGCCATCGTAATGTTAAAAAAATACATTTTTTTTGTTTAATCACATCCAGGTTTATCTGTTTATCATTAAAGCTGGTCAGAGGAAGGGAAGGAGACATAATGGAGCCTTGATGATTGATGCGTATTGTGTGCTCTTTTGCCTCAGGGGAGGGTKCTGCTGTGCTGCTGCGCTCCCTGGAGCCCCTCCAGGGTCAGTCTGTCATGAAGGAGCTGAGGGCAGCTAGGCGCAAAGCAGGAGCCCGCCAACTAAAGGACAAAGAGCTCTGCAACGGGCCGTCAAAGCTGTGCCAGGCCCTAAATATACCTCGCTGTTTTGACCGTAGAGACTTGGCCTCAGACCCAGAGGTGTGGCTAGAGACTGATCCGAACGCGGGTCCCACAAACCCGCAGGATGTCGTATCAGCTCCACGTATCGGAATTGAGTCCCACGGGGAGTGGGCCAAGAAACCGTGGCGGTTTTATCTTCGTGGGCATCCCTGTGTCAGCGTTGTGAATAAGGAGGCAGAAAGACGGTCTCCATCTGGAAATGTAATGAGCAATTTAGGTCTATGAGATGTGCAGACAACAGGGCTAAAGACCCAAGAATAAGTACTTTCCCATCTGCTTACTTTTTAAACATTTTGAGAGAATAGTTTTGTTTTTGTTCAAATACAGTAAATTATTGCTTTATGTTTTTAATGTATTATTTGTTGTGTTAATGTAAAAAAATCTAGCTCATTTTGAAACAGTTTATTAATGCAAAGTTGAACAAGAAAGTAACAAATTAAAACTGACATGTCATAATCAGTATCGGTGCCCATTACAAAAAAATAAAAATAAAAATCCTCACTGAATTAAACATGTAGACAGTCAGTAGTCATTCTCATTTAGTTTAATTGTTTTCTAATTCACACATGGGAAATGTCCCTTTGAGTGATTTTACAGATGTCTGGAATGCTCCGTTCCCCTCAAAACAGTCTGAGCAAAAACAGTCGATTTGATGTTTGCTTTTTCGTTGCMGTTTTTCCCATCATCACCTTTGGGATTCCTTTAAAAAAAAAGAGGTAGCTGAAGGCCTGGAACGATCACTGTGAAGCCCCACCCCTCCCGTGACGCCAGCACAGATCATTTTTCGAACAGATTGCGAGGTGAGGTGGGGAGATTTTGTCAAAACTCCTCCTTCACAGTGGAACCCTTAAGGCATGTCTGGCATTCATTAAATAATTTAATATTGTAAACAAACATTTGGCTCGAAGAGAAAATACTTTCTACATGGTTTAGATCTTCACACATTAATTCTAATGTATTCGTTTTTTTTTTTTTAAAGAACGTCTTTGAAGAATAGCACTTAGCTGTGAGCAGATTTACCTGCTATCAAACTGACATATGTTCAAGTGCTGCCATGGCACCATTAACCCATAGGCGACTGAAAGATGGAAATGACAGGATCCTCGTGGTTGGTCACTACGAGGACACTGCGGAACTTGTCAAACAGAGTCTTGAGCTGCGAGCGTCTCATGTTCTCGTTGTACATAATTTCTTCCAGGTGGTGATGCCCCCGGAAATAATGCAGCAGTCTAGAAACAGTCAACATAAAAAGTAAAAAGCTKGAACTTCACTCAGTCATTAGCAGTAAAAACAAAAACGTTGAGTTTGCATTAATCTAATGTAGGAAACACACATCACTGATAACTAGTTAGACATTTTTCAGAATCCATCATAGCGGTGAGGAAACTTCTGAGTAGTGTAACCCCATGGTTCCCAACGCTGGGGTCGTGACCCAACTGTGTGTTATAAAGCATCAAGTTGGGTTCTTTGGATAATCACCAGAAATAAAATCAATGGTAAAAGGTTGATGATGTAATATTTCTCCTATAATTAGTACAAAAATACATAGAATACCCATAAAAAGGAAAAATAGTGTTGCTGTAAAAGCAGTTTGGATTGCCACTAAGCCCTTTTTTAGAAGGGTTATTGACAAAGGTTGAGCACTCAGACCAGTAATAAGCCTCTGCCGTGGATATTTTGTGGGTCAGAAAGTGACAAGTTTGGGAATTACTGGTGTAACCTACGCAAATACACTAGTACAGTATGAAAGCAGCAACACATGATCTGTTCCTGTTCAATTAACCTGTTCTTATCGCTGAAAAAGCAGCAAAACACTAACTTTGTTTACATGCCCAGAATTCTTTGATTGGACTGAAATGTGTTCAGATTAAATAATCAGATCAGAATATTTCGACTGGGGCGTTGACACGATGCATTTTTATTCTGACTGGCTGTTTATTGCGATTACCYACGTCCGTGTAAACCTAGCTACTGAAAGTCATCATCCTGAAACAAACGTAACGTTCTTCTTGTGTGTTGAGAAGGGACCGGGTTACCTGGCAAACATTCGCAGATCTTCTGGATTTTGTGCGGCCGGGATGTTGAGTATAACCTGCCTCTCGTGCTCTGACAGACTTGTAAGCTGCGTTTCTGTCATCCTTTTGTTGAGCGGAGAATCTCCACCAGGCAACAGCTCTGTGCTGGAATTTTCCATACTGGGGCTGGTTAAAGTCATGTCATCGCTGCTCGCTGCACACAGGGGAGAAGACAAACGGTCTGAGATTCACAACAACCTGTTCCGCCTCCCTCCGAGACAGAAACGAGAGAGAGGACCTACTCGGTGAACCGAAACTAAGAGCACTCGGGGTGCTGAGACTCCGGCCCCCCACTCGGGCAGCCAGTGGAAGCTCTTCGTCCCTCGGCCCAGGCTGGTCTTCACTGGGCGGCACCAGGAGACAAACGTAAGTGTGCAGCTGGATAAGCAGGCGGTGCTGGAGCATCCACACCACCATCTGGATCAACTGGGCCTGGTCAGACACGGAGCAGAAAACTGAATTATAGTTGAGTATAAACACTGAAGTCTGCAGTTAAACACTTTAAATCTACTCTCAGGTTCATACAAGAATACAGCAGCAGGAAAGATCCATGACATCATCTTATGGAAGCAGTGACATTTTGGCATCCTTTTCTGCTGTTTGTTTWTTTTTAAAAAGCAGAACATTTCTTTTAACTGTTGCAATAGTTTTACCTCCTGTGCAGGAGCCTCCAGGGGGTTTCTGAACTCAGCCAGTGAGACAGGTAAGGAAAACTTTGCCAACATGGAGGGCAGATCATGACCTGAAAACTGCTGGGCAAACTGTTTGGCCAGTGGGGAGTATCTGTTCAAAAGACAAATGCCATACAACATTCAGAGCTTTTTTATTAGCACTTTTTAAACTTAGTAGTAATTCTGGTTAGAGGAAAACACAAGGATTACTACATGAAGAATTATATGAGGGTTGCGTACTTACAGGGAGATGTTGGCATGAGGTGAGAGCATGTAGACGTTATTCTCACACAGGGGGAAGATGATGATGGCCTTGCCCCAGTAAACCAAGTGAGCAGCAATTTGAAAGATCTGAGAGAAGAAACATAAAGTTGTCTAGTGCACATAGTTATGACAGAGTATAAGGGCCACGCAACAAGATTTAAATTTTTTTTTTTAATTACGATAAAGTCATAATATTACGACATTAAAGTCGTGTAAAAATAAAGTCATAATATTATGAGAATAAAGTTGTAATATTATGATTTTAATCTCGTAAATTATGACTTTAATCTCGTAGTATTACGACTTTAATCTCGTACTATTACGACTTTATTCTCATAATATTATGACTTTTTATATGACTTTAATCTCGTAATATTACGACTTTAACCTCGTAATATTTACTCTCGTAATATTACAACTTTATTCTCATATTATGACTTTATTTTTATATGACTTTAATCTCGTAACATTACGACTTAATTCTCGTAAAATTATGACTTTAATCTCGTAATATTACGACTTTAATCTCGTAATATTACGACTTTAATCTCGTAATATTACGACT